TGAGGGTCCTAGGAGCAGTGAGGGCCCTGGAGGAGCAGTGAGGACCCTGGAGGATCAGTGAGGGCCATGGAGGAGCAGTGAGGGCCCTGGAGGAGCAGAGGGCCCTGGAGAAGCAGTGAGGGCCCTGGAGGAGCAGTGAGGGTCCTGGGAGCAGTGAGGGCCCTGGAGGAGCAGTGAGGGCCCTGGAGAAGCAGTGAGGGCCCTGGAGGAGCAGTGAGGGCCCTGGAGGAGCAGAGGGCCCTGGAGGAGCAGTGAGGGCCCTGGAGGAGCAGAGGGCCCTGGAGGAGCAGTGAGGGCCCTGGAGGAGCAGAGGGCCCTGGAGAAGCAGTGAGGGCCCTGGAGGAGCAGTGAGGGGCCTGGGAGCAGTGAGGGCCCTGGAGGAGCAGTGAGAGCCCTGGAGGAGTAGTGAGGGCCCTGGAGGAGCAGAGGGCCCTGGAGGAGCAGTGAGGGCCCTGGAGGAGCAGTGAGGGCCATGGAGGAGCAGTGAGGGCCATGGAGGAGCAGTGAGGGCCCTGGAGGAGCAGTGAGGGCCCTGGAGGAGCAGAGGACCCTGGAGGAGCAGTGAGGGCCCTGGAGGAGCAGTGAGGGCCCTGGAGGAGCAGTGAGGGCCCTGGAGGAGCAGAGGGCACTGGAGGAGCAGCAAGAGCCCTGGAGAAGCAGAGGCCCCCCGTGGGGAATGCAGGGCTGAGCGGCTTGCATGGCCTGCAGTTTGGTTGGAACTGACTTGCTAGTCACCTGACAAGTCAGAATGTGAGGGTCCTCCAGGTGGATAGCGGGACAGTATTAGCAACCTGGGCTGGGACACCGGCTTCGCCCAGCCCTAGAGGATGGGTGGCAGGTGCCTCAGCCACTGGTTTACAAGCAGCAGGAAGGCTGGCGGGAGACAGGCCTGGCCTCACGCTTCAGTGCAGCCCAGCAGGAGCCTGGGCCCTGCGGGTGCTGAGGGCGGCCTCCTGAGAGCTGTGCGCTCGGCTCCCTGGCCGCTGCGGGCAGCCACTGCGTGAGACCCACACGGAGTTGTTATTGTCCTGATTGTACAAAGAGGAAACTGAGGCTCAGCGAGGCTGGGCTGCTGGGGGAAAACAATGGAAAAACAGGGACTTAAGCTCAAGAGTCCTTATTAGAGGCCATTAAGAATGTCCCAGTTTTAAGAAAATGGCAAAGCAGACACATGACGGAGTATTAACATCACAAGAGCTACATGGTGTGGACGGTGACAGGAGGAAGCCTGGTCTCCTGAGAGGACTGCCCGCTGCTGGGCTCGGCCCTTGGGCATCGTTGCTGCCTGGAGCCAGCAGCCTGACTTCAACCCCAGCCCGGCCACGTAGAAGCTGGGCCCCGTGGGCAAGTCACTTACCCTCTCTGTGCCTCGGGTCACACAGCTCTAAAGCGAGGAGACTGGCCCTGGCCTCCTCCATAGAGGCGACAGGTGGCTGGGTCGCCGTGCGGGTTAACCAGGTGAACCCCCGGTGCTGAGCCCGGTCGGGCAGCAGAGCACTCCTTAAATCGCCGCCACCATTGGCTTGAGAAGGCGCGTGCGTCCTCGTTTTCCTTCTTCATGAGATGCTGAGAGTCATAAAGGGCCGCAGTTAAGAAGTCAGGTCGCAGGTCAGTCTCTTGCTGGGTTTTTGCCTGAAAATGTAAAATGCCTTTGCTACCGCCCAGCACGCCCTGCGGGGTAACCTGGCCCTTCACACACAGCTGGCTTTTCTCCAGCACCCACAGAGCCCCCCCCAGCGGTGCCAGCACCCACAGAGCTGCCCCCCACCAGCAGTGCCAGCACCCACAGAGCTGCCCCCCTCCCCCAGCGGTGCCAGCACCCACGGAGCTGCCCCCCTCCCCCAGCGGTGCCAGCACCGGCCCCTGTACTAACAGATGGGCGGGGGGAGGGGTGATGGGGCCTGGGGTGCTGCCTCCTGGATCTGCTGACCCGACCCGCGTTCTGACTGCCAGGGCCTGTGGAGAGTGGCTGTGTCTGGCTGGTCCCTGGGGCATTGGGGCCCGGGAGGAGGCTGCCCTCCCACCAGGAGCTGTGTGGCTTGGTCACAGTCATTCCCCACCGTCCTGAGTGACTCCTGGTCTCTCCTGGGCCACGGGAGGGGCAGTGGAATAAGAACCCTCTTCTGTCTACACTGGGGAATGCCCCCACCCACGAACATGCTTCAGAGATGCTGCTGCTGCCCCGGAACGGGTCCCAGCTTCCCCCAGGGAGCGGGCAGTGAGGGCTGCCCCTGGGGAGGACAGGAGGGTCCTTCGCAGAGGAGCAGGTGCTGCTCTGACAGGTCACATCTAGCCTCGTTTTCCCAGTGGCCGGTGTCCAGGGAGCGGCCCTCCCAGCCGGGGCAGAGGCAGCAGGCGTGGCCGGTGTGACCCGCTGGCCCAGCTGTGGCACCTCCATCCACAGAGAGCAGGTGTGAATGAGACGCGCTGAGCTTCAGAGGCAGTGCGGCCATGACTGTCCCCTCTTGGCCGTTGTCTGGACCCTCTGCCCTGGGGACAGTGCACAGAAGAGGGACTCTGCCGCCTCATTGCCTCTCATCTCATCCTCCAAATGGGCAAGACTACCTGTCACCAAGCCAAACTGCCTTGAAAGGCCTCAAAAATGGTCAACTGTGGGCTGTGTCTCCCTCTCCAAGGAACCGGGAGAGGGTAACAGTCCTTCCATTGATGCTCCTGGTGAGCCAGGTCTGAGGTCCTCGGGGCCGCCCAGTGGAGCTGGGCCCTGGCTGCTCCCATCTGCACCCGGTCTGCACCCGAGAGCAGCGGGCCAGGCTGTAAATCCGGGGGGTCTGGCTCAGCGCGGCGTCCTCTGAGAAATGGGGACAGAGCCTCCCAGCCGAGGGCAGTCAGGGATGCACAAAGCCCGCAGAGGAATTATTTTGCTTGGTTCTAGTTTGGTGCTAATAGATGGTTCATTAAATTGCTATTTTTTTAAAGACACACAGACCCTGGAACCTCTCCCAATCCAATAGTAGTTGCTATTTAAGTCCACCCAGCAGCCCATGGGTTTAGGTTCGGGTGGGGCCCTAAATCAATGGTGCTGGGCACTCCCTGAGCTCCTCCCGGGACACACGCCCCCATGGCCGCAGTCCTGAGGCACCTGGGGCGCATCGTGGGCCCGGGGATGTGTGAAGAGGTCAGGAGGCTGGGGAGCTGGGACCTGGTGGAAAGATTCAGGGAAGCCCTGGTCCCGAGGCGATACGGGAAAGCGGCGGGAACACCGCGTGATGGGCTGAATGCTTGTGTTCCCCTAAAACGCACACGTGGAAGCCTGAACTCCCAGGGGTCTGCATTTGGAGAAGGGTCTTCTGAGGAAGTAATTCGGGTTAAATGAGGACACAAAAGTCAGGCCCCGATCTGATCGGATTAGTGTCCTTAAAAGAAGAGACCCAAGCCCCGGTCAGCGTGGCTCAGAGGATAGAGCGTCAGCCACGGACCGAAGGGTCCCATGTTCAATTCTGGCCAAGGGCACGCACCTTGGTTGCAGGTTCCACCCCGGCCCTGGTCAGGGCCCATGCAGGAGGCAACCAGTAAATGTGCCTCTCCCCCTCTCCCTTCCATTCTCTCTAAATCAATGGGAAAATATCCTTGGGTAAGGATTAACAACAAAAAGAAGAGACTCGAGAGATCTCTCTCCTGACCCTATACACACACACACACACATACACTCACACACTCACACAGAGACACACACAGAGACACACAGACACACACAGAGACAAACAGACACACACACACACACTCACACACAGACACACACTCACAGACACACACACGCACACGCACGGGCCACGTGAGGACACAGCGAGAAGGAAGCCGCCCTCACCAGGACCCAGAGCCTCCAGAGGCCTGCCCGGTCGGTGGCATTTTGTTACAGCAACACAAATGGGGGAGACATCCTGTGTTTCCTGGACGTTTCCTGGCCCCCCTTCATTCCTCCAGGGCCCCTCGCCCTGCCCCCCACTCCCACCCCCACCCCCAAGGCAGCCTCCTGCTGCAGGATCGCCTCAAGCCCCTGCACCTGGGTGAGGGGTGCTGTGGTCTCAGGAGGCCCCGTGGTGGTGGCGGTGGTGGCAGCAGCAGGACGGAGGGAACATTTCTCCGACCATGAGAATCGCCACGTGTTTCTGGGGCTTGAAATAAACCACCAGTGACTTCCCAGACAGGGAAGCAACGTGTTACAGCTCGGAGGCCACGGGGGATGCCTGAGCTGGCTGGTCTGCTTCGTGGGGTGCTCTTGAGAGTGACCAAACTAACTCAGGGCCTCGCCAAAGGGGGCAGGGACATCCTAGGTCGATGAGGCCCATGGTGTAACAGTGCGGTGTTCTCAAGCTGTAGACCAACCATGTCAAACTTGCGGCCCGCACAACGAATATTTTTGCGGCCCAGCCAATATAACGGCGTGAGCAGTTACTTACAATTATGAAAGGAAATAAGTCTCCTGTCAGATCCAGAATTACTGACATTCACCGTGGGTCGGTTTGAAAGTAATCCCTGTGAACAAGATCTCCCCCGAAGCAGGAAAGATGGTAGCAGAGAAGAGATGCCAAGTATCAGGAAGAAAACATGAATTTTATCATTGCTCTTACGCTTTTTTTTTACACAATACTTTTCTAAATCAACCTACGTTTCTATGGAAATTGAATCTTTTGGTTTTTTGCTGCCACATAAACTTAAACCTTGCTTATTTGGCCTGTGTTAGCCATTGAGTTTGACATGCTTGCTGTAGATACTCGAGATCATACTACTCAGCTTTCTTCCCTCACTGGCCAATTCAAGGAAGACCCCTCATTTGAATAATATTCTTTTCTTATTTCTGTAAATTTCCCTTTGCTGGGAAGAAAATTCTTGAGTTAGTTCATAGGCACCAGGCAAACAATAAAACCCACCCCATCCACGGATTGATCTTTTACTTAAGCTCCTCCTGGGAGCCCACCCGGTCCCTGGAGGGTATGGACCTGGGCAGTGGGGGTGGCTGAATCACAAACAGGAAAGGCTTGCTGTGGGATGTATTTTTAATGAGAACACATTGTTATACTGTGAGCATGTGGCATTCTTGCTGAATAAAAACATTTACAAGAACACATACACATTTATATCCAAACACCAAATGAAGTAGATACTTTAAAGGACCAGTTTGCACCGGAAATAAAATATATTATACAAAACAGAGGTTATATCCACAGTCATTAATTCTCATCTTCTACACAACACAACAATAAATTAAATCACATTATATGCAGATAGTTCTACTTACATTAGAATAATCAACCGTATGTAGCAGGTGCCGCTTTTACTCTTCCTTTGCTACCGGACTCGTGGTAAGGTCGTATTGTTGGGCGGTCCTGTGTTTACATTAACAATGACTAACCCGGCCCAGAAGACAAGGGCTGCAGAGGGACCCTCCACAGTGTCTGGACCTCCTCTTGGTGTCACTACCCACCAGGCACAGGGGACAAAGCTCAGGTTCCCAGGTCCCAGCACAACGGTCTGCAAACGCCCAGCCTCTCCCGGCTGCCTTGGGCACCTCATGGCTCTCTTGTTAGTAAGACACGCCACATGGAACACGTTCAGCTTTGGTATTGAATAATGCATAGGACAGCCTACTTCAAAGCCCAACATGTCCTTTCTCTGCCCAGTTATCATGTGCTGTGGCCGCGTTTTCTCTTCCCCAATGAGAAACATTTTGGCGGGCTCTGCTGCGACTCACCCTGGGTGAATGGGCCCTTTATTCCTTCCTGCGTAGAAATGTAGGTCTTTAACTCCTGAATCAGAACAATGCAACATTTTTTGCTAAATCTTAATTCTGGTTGTTCCAATCTCTCCCCCAGGAATCACCCCACACCCGACCCATCAGAGAGCGAGGACAGCCTATGGATTTTTACTTCTGAGCCTCGCGCCCATGGCAACCCTGCCCCGGTGTTTGAAGCAGCTGAAGACACGAACGTGAACAGCATCAGCTGGTGTAGAATTGCTTTGCCTTTGGTAGGAATTAACGTTAGTGGTTAATGAGAAATTTGAACCAGCTCCAATCCAGCACCTTTTGAAAGTTGTTTTAATCCTAGAGTCTAGCTGTGGGGTACGCCTGCAAGAGATGTTTGGGAGACCGGCATGCTGAAAACCAGGCCAGGCTTGTTGGCGTCTATGCACATCCCAGGCTTGAAGTGCCCCCAGGGCGTGTGTGGTCAAGTTAACATAAGGGTTCTGGTTGCAAGCCAGGGACGGGAATCATTCTGCCCGCTCACAGCCAGCACCGGGCGGGTGGCCGTCTTCCTGAGGAAGTGCGGGGGTCCCTCGGCAAGCTTCTGCCTGCACGGGGAAGAGCTGGCGCACCTTCGCAGCCAGGACAGAGGTGAGTGGGGTGCGGGAGGAAGGAGGGGAAGATGAGGCAATTTGCAATTGTACCTTCTGTTCCTTTCAGAGAATGGCGCTCCTGATTCTTTCTGGGTGTGGCCTGCGCTTCTGGCTGAGCCTGGCCATTGAAGAGGACTAAATTATTGGCTACTCCGCACTTCCAAAGACAACCCTAAGAAACACCACCTCCTTCTCTCCGCTGCCACCCTGACCCTCAGACACAGGCCTTGGTCTTAGAGAATTTCGCTTTCCCACTGAAGGTCGGCCCATGATCAGCTCCCTCAGGAAGCACTGGGCCACAGCGCATAACCAAACAAGCCCCCGAACACAGATGAAGGGCCTGCTCTCGGTGGGCATTTGGCTTTCTGCCAGCATCCAGTCAGCATCTAAGTTCTTTGTGTCCCAAGAAACATAGAAACGCGTGCCTTTCCTTTTAGAAACACTCCCTTAAGACACGGCCTGATATTCTATGTGGTTTCCTACAGAGACTTCCACCAATAGCCACTGCGTACTCCCAAGAAGGGGGTGCCACGGGACCTCCCTTCTGAATTCCTGTCACTGTGTGAGACCTGCACAATGGCCTTCGTCTCACTGCCAACAGCCTGTCTCACCCTCTGAAACCCAGCGCCAGACAGAAGGAAAGTGGGAAATTGGGGGCAAAGAGGGCACAGGGGCCTTGAAGAAATTTGTGACCCTAGAAGCCTGTGAATAAGGGAGCAGTGTCTGGCCATCAAGTCTTAGAATGTCAGGAATTTATTTCCATACACGTCTCCCCTCCCTCCGTGAAATGTTGCTTCTGAAATGTAGAGAACTGTTTTAAAGCCAGTGGAGCCGTGTCTGTGGTTCAGGAAAGGACACGCTAATGGTGCTTCCAAGAAATATAATGTTTACAGGGGATTCCTCGCAGAACCTGCGGTCAGGGTGGGAGGAGGACGCACCCTCTATACAGAGAGTGTTTTCTGGATGGAAGTGACCCTCTGGAGAAAGCTTTTATTTCTGAGTCCAGGAAAACAATCTGAGAAGGTGACAATGATGAACATAAAAGCTACACTTACTTCCAACACCATAAGTAGATGTGAAAAGTATATACCTTGACCGGCGTCGATGTCGGCTGGCTTGGCCAGCTGGCACTGACCTCTTTTTAAACCCGAACTCCCTGGCCTTCAGGGGAAAACTGTATAGAATGGGTTAGGAACTAAAGCCCTATTTATTTGACTGTGTGATATGTGGCTCCTGGCGGAGGTTAAATTACTAGTTGTCAAAGACGTTGCTTAGCAGTCAGGAACATACTCCGAAACTACAATCTCCACAGGTCTGAACCCAGGGTAACCTTGGGCCAAACACCTACACTTTTTGCAAATATTTCCAACTGAATGGAGTCTTCCAAAACATAAGAGAGTTTTGGTAAGTCATATGATGAGTTCAAGGCAGAAAGTATAGACAGCAGACAAAGCAATCAATCTTAAGAGCCCTATGATTGCTTTAAGATTGGAAGAGAATGGCATCCACATCTGAGAAACCTCATGATTTGTTCTGCCATTTTTAAAAGACTAAAATTCTCATTTTTACAATTTTATCTGGGGACATAATAATGTTAACCTCAGAACTATTCCTCTACCTAAAGTAGAAATAAAAGATATTTGCTTTAAAAATGTGAGTTAATGGGACCCTGTGTCGATTATAGGAAGGCTAGAAATGTTTATACCCAACGACTGCAACCAGGTAGAGTGTTTTCCCCCTGAAATAAGCACATAGGCTCAAAATTGAAATGTCTCTTTACAAACACATGATAAAAGAAAATGAGTATCTCTAAAAGTCATGACAAACATCACTGAAAAACAAAAACTAGAGAGAAATAAGTTCTCAATCCATAAAACCAAACGGAATCAGGCCTCCGCTTGGAGGAGTCCTGAGCTGCTCATCGCTTTGCTTCTCTCGTTTTCACTTCCCAGGCTCTCTTCCTATGATAGGGCTTCTGGGGCGTGCCTTTCTTGCTTTCTTTTTCCATCCTTTTTTAAATTTAGTACTTTTTCCTTTGCATCCAACATGGAGAACTACAACATCATTGTTCCAGTTGATCATCCTTAATTCTTTGATCATGTTCTCCAGCTGGCTGCATAACATTTTTAAGCCATAAAGGGAACATGCGCCTCACCCAGAAATAATCCATTCCCTGTGACTGACTGGAGTAGGAGTCACAGGAGCCAGCTCCTCCAGGAAGCAAGGTGGGACCAACTTCCAAGACACACGGCTTCCACTCATCGGCCTCCGCCCTCACCTGTACGAGCTATGACCTCCCAGGAATTGTTCAAACTCCACTATTGACCTCCCTACACATGGTCTGTTACAGATAGTAAGATGATGTTTAAAACTATTTTCCAGATGCTCAAATGTTATCAAGGACCGAGTGACCTAATTATATGCTAGCTAGTCCAGCAATGTCCCATTCTGCCCTCACCGTCCATTTTCTCCACAAATCATACAGTGACAGCCTGAATGTCAACCTGTGTGCAGAGTACTGGGTGCAGCCTAGAGATTCAGTAAAGGCTTATTCAACTTTGTCCGAAGTCCTTATACCCACACCCACAACCATTGTTACACAGGATACTGGTGGATGACTACAGAGCTCTGCAGAATTAACTGAAAGGGAATATAGTCGCTATGCAGATTCTCTCTTTGAACCCAAATCATCACTGTAAGTTTTGGCAAAATGCCATGTATTTATCATTTTGTGTTTACTGTCAAGTTCTAACTCTCATAAAGTTCTTCTTGAGGAAAAAGGGCTGCCTCCCCTTATGACATCCTACTTAATTCTAATACATTTCACCCTTGATCCTGAAACTCATCATTTGGCCAGAGTTGGAAGGGATCTATCCCTAAAACAATGTGCATTTAAAGCAGGTAAATTAATGTGCTCCTGCAGGGTCTGTAATCAGAAGACATTTCTAGGTCTCTGGAATTAAAGCAGCAGTTTGCAGTTGAGTCTGGCCCAGGGGAAGAGGACAACGGGGGGGGCGGGGGGGGGAGCGGGCGTTGGGAGAGAGAAGCATCTTTCATCACTGTTATACCCATGTTTTTCAAATATAAGTGAAATTTAATCTTAAAAATGAAAAAATAGACACATTTTCTAATAGCAAAATATAAGATCAAAATACTTAAAAATAAAATGTTAGTGGGAAGTAGGGCTTTGTTTTTTACATTTTAAAAAATGAAACATTTTAGATTTGCTTTTCTTGTATACATCCTCTTGTCTCGGTGATAGTTACAACTGTCCAGAGCAGCTTTTATGAGACACTGAAGGAGACAGGAGGGAATCCTCTGACAAGAGAGGAAGTCAGGACCTGAGTGCATACATTGGACAGAGCCGTCCTCAACTCAACCCGGCCAGCCAGCACTAGAGAGAGGCACGAGCGTATTTCCCACCTTGAGATATTTCATTACATTCTCCTCTTCTTGGGTGTTAAATTCTTCCCAACAATATTCTACTTGTAAAAATGGTTTTATCCTAGCTATAAAACATTTCATTTGAGAAAACCCCATTTTATAGCCTTGTGTGAAATGCCCCCAAAAGCCAGCAAGATAGGGAGACATCAGATTCTCAAACCATAAATCCAACACAGGCCCTGGAAGCAGTGTGCACGTTTAACAGAGTGACATTATATTCTGGTATTTTCTTGTCATGAGATGAAAGGCCAAGAGGCATCTGATGACTAATAGTCGTTCCTGAGCTTCTAAAGAAATTTTACAACGAAATGACTAAATGCTTAAAAGAATGAGTTCTTCAAGAGCACGCCTCTGTTCCAGACATGTCTTTCATCCCATCAATCTCCCCAAAGAATCTTGGGCTGAAAGCAAAGGCTTCCTTTTAAGCCACCGAAAGATGGGATCTGATGGAGTCTTCCCGGAGCTCCCGATGCTTCCCGACGTTTCTTTCTTCTCGCCGGTTTCGTCTCTCAATGGTTATTCTGTATTTCTTCCTGGGTAAAGGGAAAGTGAATGTAGTAATAAAACCTCCGTTGGCTACAAAATACTATGGTTTCTCTTACAAAGAATGCCCTTGGGGGACATCTGGGTTGGGGTTGATAAATGAGAAGTGACAGAATATGAAACCCTGGTCAGAGATTAAAGTAGAGTGCCCCCAGGCGCCCTGACCTTATTCAAGGAGGAAAATTGGCCTGCTTTCTGAAATGCCATAGAACAAGCCTTTCCCTTCTTCCCTGGGCGCCTGGTGGGTTCAGTCGTGCCTATTGGGCCACAGAAGCACTCCCCAACTCCCAGGACAGGCCCCAGATAAAGATCAGATTACGTGCACTGAGCCAAAGGAACAGGAATACAATTGTTCCCACCAAGAGCCACAGACACCCAGAGCTACATTTCCATGCAGAAATGAAGAAATTGTGGTCTAATGGCTTAAGAATAAACCACAAACTCAACCACCAAAGATTACAAAGGGATCGACCGCCCTTGTGGTGCAAAACTGTCGGTATCTTGGACACAGAGAAATATGACAGTTTTACAAGCCTTGGGGCTTAACCACAGTGGTAACCAAGTGTGTGGGGTCTCCAAATGCTCAGCACCGACCAGCCTGAGAGCATGGGCCGCTAGGAGCTGCCGCCTCCTCTCCAGAAGGTGAACCCAGGCACCTCCTTCTGACCCAGAGGAAGCCTGAGAACGGGGCCATCTATTTCCCCTTTGTGCAGATTCCCTCTCCACATACACACTGAGTGGGTGGTAGGGATTCGGGTCAGAATATCTGTATCAAAGGATAGTAGCTGTTCTGTGGCCCACAGGGCAGTGCAGCAGGAGCCCCTGCCCTCTCCCTAGCACGCTAGCCCACTGACCACCACACCAGGGGGCCCACCAACAGATGGCTTTGTTCTTCCAACCACCATGCTTTTGGGGTAAGAGCAAGATATGGGCAGGTCACAGAAAGATCATGCAAAGGCAAGTGACAAAGGCAATAAGAGTGAATTTTTAAACCCGATTACAAGGTCCTAACCTGAAAAAGTAGAAAGCCATTAGCAAACCAGCTCCTAGTAAGGCCCCCACCACAATTCCTGTGACCGCTGATTCTTCTAGGCCACCTGCTTGAGAAAAAAATAGATCATCAGAGTTCATTTTGAGAAACAGAAAAGTCTCCTCCTAACCTTTCTGTTTTTGAATGATAAGAGTACACATTTATTTTCCCCATCACATACAGAATATTAGCAAATACCCATCACATACTAGATCAAAAGAAAATCTCAGGACATTTCAATGAATAGTTGTCATTCAAACCCTGAATTCATACGTCCTAACCTTTCTTTCATTCATTGAAAAGCTTCGTTCTCTGGACGGTGTTTCTCAGTTTCCCACTTGAGAACATTTTCCTTTATTTTTGAGAAAGATTTCTAGGGGATCCTGCACTTTTCCTAAGAAGCACCAAAGAGCACACTAGATGAGCATACTGCCTGCTCCAGGGAGCACACTAGATGAGCACACTGCCTGCTACAGGGAGCACACTAGATGAGCACACTGCCTGCTACAGGGAGCACAGTAGATGAGCACACAGCCTGCTACAGGGAGCACACTAGATGAGCATACTGCCTGCTACAGGGAGCACACTAGATGAGCACACAGCCTGCTACAGGGAGCACAGTAGATGAGCACACAGCCTGCTACAGGGAGCACACTAGATGAGCACACAGCCTGCTACAGGGAGCACACTAGATGAGCACACAGCCTGCTTCAGGGAGCACACTAGATGAGCACACTGCCTGCTACAGGGAGCACACTAGATGAGCACACTGCCTGCTACAGGGAGCACACTAGATGAGCACACTGCCTGCTACAGGGAGCACACTAGATGAGCACACAGCCTGCTACAGGGAGCACAGTAGATGAGCACACTGCCTGCTACAGGGAGCACAGTAGATGAGCACACTGCCTGCTACAGGGAGCACACTAGATGAGCACACTGCCTGCTACAGGGAGCACACTAGATGAGCACACTGCCTGCTACAGGGAGCACACTAGATGAGCACACTGCCTGCTACAGGGAGCACACTAGATGAGCACACAGCCTGCTACAGGGAGCACACTAGATGAGCACACAGCCTGCTACAGGGAGCACAGTAGATGAGCACACAGCCTGCTACAGGGAGCACACTAGATGAGCACACAGCCTGCTACAGGGAGCACAGTAGATGAGCACACAGCCTGCTACAGGGAGCACAGTAGAAGAGCACACAGCCTGCTACAGGGAGCACACTAGATGAGCACACAGCCTGCTACAGGGAGCACAGTAGATGAGCACACAGCCTGCTACAGGGTGCACACTAGATGAGCACACAGCCTGCTACAGGGAGCACACTAGATGAGCACACAGCCTGCTACAGGGAGCACAGTAGATGAGCGCACTGCCTGCTACAGGGAGCACACTAGATGAGCACACAGCCTGCTACAGGGAGCACACTAGATGAGCACACAGCCTGCTACAGGGAGCACAGTAGATGAGCACACAGCCTGCTACAGGGAGCACAGTAGATGAGCACACAGCCTGCTACAGGGAGCACACTAGATGAGCACACAGCCTGCTACAGGGAGCACAGTAGATGAGCACACAGCCTGCTACAGGGAGCACACTAGATGAGCACACAGCCTGCTACAGGGAGCACAGTAGATGAGCACACAGCCTGCTACAGGGAGCACACTAGATGAGCACACAGCCTGCTACAGGGAGCACACTAGATGAGCACACAGCCTACTACAGGGAGCACAGTAGATGAGCACACAGCCTGCTACAGGGAGCACAGTAGATGAGCACACAGCCTGCTACAGGGAGCACAGTAGATGAGCACACAGCCTGCTACAGGGAGCACAGTAGATGAGCTCACTGCCTGCTACAGGGAGCACAGTAGATGAGCGCACTGCCTGCTACAGGGAGCACACTAGATGAGCATACTGCCTGCTACAGGGAGCACACTAGATGAGCACACAGCCTGCTACAGGGAGCACAGTAGATGAGCACACAGCCTGCTACAGGGAGCACAGTAGATGAGCGCACTGCCTGCTACAGGGAGCACAGTAGATGAGCACACTGCCTGCTACAGGGAGCACAGTAGATGAGCACACTGCCTGCTACAGGGAGCACACTAGATGAGCACACTGCCTGCTACAGGGAGCACACTAGATGAGCACACTGCCTGCTACAGGGAGCACACTAGATGAGCACACAGCCTGCTACAGGGAGCACAGTAGATGAGCACACAGCCTGCTACAGGGAGCACAGTAGATGAGCACACAGCCTGCTCCAGGGAGCACACTAGATGAGCACACAGCCTGCTCCAGGGAGCACACTAGATGAGCACACTGCCTGCTACAGGGAGCACAGTAGATGAGCACACTGCCTGCTTCAGGGAGCACAGTAGATGAGCACACAGCCTGCTCCAGGGAGCACAGTAGATGAGCACACAGCCTGCTACAGGGAGCACACGTAGATGAGCACACAGCCTGCTACAGGGAGCACACTAGATGAGCACACTGCCTGCTACAGGGAGCACACTAGATGAGCACACAGCCTGCTACAGGGAGCACAGTAGATGAGCACACAGCCTGCTACAGGGAGCACAGTAGATGAGCACACTGCCTGCTACAGGGAGCACACTAGATGAGCACACAGCCTGCTACAGGGAGCACACTAGATGAGCACACTGCCTGCTACAGGGAGCACACTAGATGAGCACACTGCCTGCTACAGGGAGCACACTAGATGAGCACACTGCCTGCTACAGGGAGCACAGTAGATGAGCACACAGCCTGCTACAGGGAGCACACTAGATGAGCACACAGCCTGCTACAGGGAGCACACTAGATGAGCACACTGCCTGCTACAGGGAGCACAGTAGATTGAGCACACAGCCTGCTACAGGGAGCACAGTAGATGAGCACACAGCCTGCTACAGGGAGCACACTAGATGAGCACACAGCCTGCTACAGGGAGCACACTAGATGAGCACACAGCCTGCTACAGGGAGCACACTAGATGAGCACACAGCCTGCTACAGGGAGCACAGTAGATGAGCACACAGCCTGCTACAGGGAGCACAGTAGATGAGCACACGCCTGCTACAGGGAGCACACTAGATGAGCACACAGCCTGCTACAGGGAGCACACTAGATGAGCACACAGCCTGCTACAGGGAGCACACTAGATGAGCACACAGCCTGCTACAGGGAGCACAGTAGATGAGCACACAGCCTGCTACAGGGAGCACAGTAGATGAGCACACAGCCTGCTACAGGGAGCACACTAGATGAGCACACAGCCTGCTACAGGGAGCACAGTAGATGAGCACACAGCCTGCTACAGGGAGCACACTAGATGAGCACACAGCCTGCTACAGGGAGCACACTAGATGAGCACACAGCCTGCTACAGGGAGCACAGTAGATGAGCACACAGCCTGCTACAGGGAGCACACTAGATGAGCACACAGCCTGCTACAGGGAGCACAGTAGATGAGCACACAGCCTGCTACAGGGAGCACAGTAGATGAGCACACAGCCTGCTACAGGGAGCACAGTAGATGAGCACACTGCCTGCTACAGGGAGCACACTAGATGAGCACACAGCCTGCTACAGGGAGCACAGTAGATGAGCACACAGCCTGCTACAGGGAGCACACTAGATGAGCACACAGCCTGCTACAGGGAGCACAGTAGATGAGCACACTGCCTGCTACAGGGAGCACAGTAGATGAGCACACTGCCTGCTACAGGGAGCACAGTAGATGAGCGCACAGCCTGCTACAGGGAGCACAGTAGATGAGCACACTGCCTGCTACAGGGAGCACACTAGATGAGCACACTGCCTGCTACAGGGAGCACAGTAGATGAGCACACTGCCTGCTACAGGGAGCACAGTAGATGAGCACACTGCCTGCTACAGGGAGCACACTAGATGAGCACACTGCCTGCTACAGGGAGCACAGTAGATGAGCACACTGCCTGCTACAGGGAGCACAGTAGATGAGCACACTACTGCTAAGGAGCACACTAGCACAGCCTGCTACAGGGAGCACAGTAGATGAGCACACAGCCTGCTACAGGGAGCACACTAGATGAGCACACAGCCTGCTACAGGGAGCACACTAGATGAGCACACAGCCTGCTACAGGGAGCACAGTAGATGAGCACACAGCCTGCTACAGGGAGCACACTAGATGAGCACACAGCCTGCTACAGGGAGCACAGTAGATGAGCACACAGCCTGCTACAGGGAGCACAGTAGATGAGCACACAGCCTGCTACAGGGAGCACAGTAGATGAGCTCACTGCCTGCTACAGGGAGCACAGTAGATGAGCACACTGCCTGCTACAGGGAGCACAGTAGATGAGCACACATGCCTGCTACAGGGAGCACACTAGATGAGCACACAGCCTGCTACAGGGAGCACACTAGATGAGCACACAGCCTGCTACAGGGAGCACACTAGATGAGCACACAGCCTGCTACAGGGAGCACACTAGATGAGCACACAGCCTGCTACAGGGAGCACACTAGATGAGCGCACAGCCTGCTACAGGGAGCACAGCTAGATGAGCACACAGCCTGCTACAGGGAGCACACTAGATGAGCACACAGCCTGCTACAGGGAGCACAGTAGATGAGCACACAGCCTGCTACAGGGAGCACACTAGATGAGCACACAGCCTGCTACAGGGAGCACAGTAGATGAGCACACTGCCTGCTACAGGGAGCACAGTAGATGAGCACACAGCCTGCTACAGGGAGCACACTAGATGAGCACACAGCCTGCTACAGGGAGCACAGTAGATGAGCACACAGCCTGCTACAGGGAGCACACTAGATGAGCACACAGCCTGCTACAGGGAGCACACTAGATGAGCACACATGCCTGCTACAGGGAGCACAGTAGATGAGCACACAGCCTGCTACAGGGAGCACAGTAGATGAGCACACAGCCTGCTACAGGGAGCACACTAGATGAGCACACAGCCTGCTACAGGGAGCACAGTAGATGAGCACACAGCCTGCTACAGGGAGCACACTAGATGAGCACACAGCCTGCTACAGGGAGCACAGTAGATGAGCACACAGCCTGCTACAGGGAGCACACTAGATGAGCACACAGCCTGCTACAGGGAGCACACTAGATGAGCACACAGCCTGCTACAGGGAGCACAGTAGATGAGCACACTGCCTGCTCCAGGGAGCACACTAGATGAGCACACAGCCTGCTACAGGGAGCACACTAGATGAGCACACAGCCTGCTACAGGGAGCACACTAGATGAGCACACAGCCTGCTACAGGGAGCACAGTAGATGAGCACACAGCCTGCTACAGGGAGCACAGTAGATGAGCACACAGCCTGCTACAGGGAGCACAGTAGATGAGCGCACAGCCTGCTACAGGGAGCACAGTAGATGAGCACACTGCCTGCTACAGGGAGCACAGTAGATGAGCACACTGCCTGCTACAGGGAGCACAGTAGATGAGCACACAGCCTGCTACAGGGAGCACAGTAGATGAGCACACAGCCTGCTACAGGGAGCACACTAGATGAGCACACAGCCTGCTACAGGGAGCACAGTAGATGAGCACACAGCCTGCTACAGGGAGCACACTAGATGAGCACACAGCCTGCTACAGGGAGCACAGTAGATGAGCACACAGCCTGCTACAGGGAGCACAGTAGATGAGCACACAGCCTGCTACAGGGAGCACACTAGATGAGCACACAGCCTGCTACAGGGAGCACACTAGATGAGCACACAGCCTGCTACAGGGAGCACACTAGATGAGCACACAGCCTGCTACAGGGAGCACACTAGATGAGCAACACAGCCTGCTACAGGGAGCACACTAGATGAGCACACAGCCTGCTACAGGGAGCACAGTAGATGAGCACACAGCCTGCTACAGGGAGCACAGTAGATGAGCACACAGCCTGCTACAGGGAGCACAGTAGATGAGCACACAGCCTGCTACAGGGAGCACACTAGATGAGCACACAGCCTGCTACAGGGAGCACACTAGATGAGCACACAGCCTGCTACAGGGAGCACAGTAGATGAGCACACTGCCTGCTACAGGGAGCACACTAGATGAGCACACAGCCTGCTACAGGGAGCACACTAGATGAGCACACAGCCTGCTACAGGGAGCACAGTAGATGAGCACACAGCCTGCTACAGGGAGCACAGTAGATGAGCACACAGCCTGCTACAGGGAGCACAGTAGATGAGCACACAGCCTGCTACAGGGAGATGAGCACACAGCCTGCTACAGGGAGCACACTAGATGAGCACACAGCCTGCTACAGGAGCACACTAGATGAGCACACAGCCTGCTACAGGGAGCACAGTAGATGAGCACACAGCCTGCTACAGGGAGCACACTAGATGAGCACACAGCCTGCTACAGGGAGCACAGTAGATGAGCACACAGCCTGCTACAGGGAGCACAGTAGATGAGCACACAGCCTGCTACAGGGAGCACAGTAGATGAGCACACAGCCTGCTACAGGGAGCACACTAGATGAGCACACAGCCTGCTACAGGAGCACAGTAGATGAGCACACAGCCTGCTACAGGGAGCACACTAGATGAGCACACAGCCTGCTTACAGGGAGCACACTAGATGAGCACACAGCCTGCTACAGGGAGCACAGTAGATGAGCACACAGCCTGCTACAGGGAGCACAGTAGATGAGCACACAGCCTGCTACAGGGAGCACAGTAGATGAGCACACAGCCTGCTTACAGGGAGCACACTAGATGAGCACACAGCCTGCTACAGGGAGCACAGTAGATGAGCACACAGCCTGCTACAGGGAGCACAGTAGATGAGCACACAGCCTGCTACAGGGAGCACAGTAGATGAGCACACAGCCTGCTACAGGGAGCACACTAGATGAGCACACAGCCTGCTACAGGGAGCACAGTAGATGAGCACACAGCCTGCTACAGGGAGCACACTAGATGAGCACACAGCCTGCTACAGGGAGCACAGTAGATGAGCACACTGCCTGCTACAGGGAGCACACTAGATGAGCACACTGCCTGCTACAGGGAGCACAGTAGATGAGCACACAGCCTGCTACAGGGAGCACAGTAGATGAGCACACAGCCTGCTACAGGGAGCACAGTAGATGAGCACACAGCCTGCTACAGGGAGCACAGTAGATGAGCACACAGCCTGCTACAGGGAGCACACTAGATGAGCACACAGCCTGCTACAGGGAGCACACTAGATGAGCACACAGCCTGCTACAGGGAGCACAGTAGATGAGCACACAGCCTGCTACAGGGAGCACAGTAGATGAGCGCACTGCCTGCTACAGGACAGCGGGAAGAACGCCGGCTCAAGCGGACTCGAGGGAAAGTGGAACAGGTGTCCAGCTCCATCCACACTTGTGTGAGTTTACAGTCAGAGAGGACAACTGGACAGACCGTGGAATCGACCCGCATGCCTTACTTTCACAGATGGGTGGGGACACACCAAAGCGCTGGAAGCTTTGGTGAAAAATTCGTTGGGTTAACGTTCTCTTTTTAGATGTTCTCTCACCAAAGCCAGAGTTTCATGTTGAAATGTCCTACATAGCACTGTGAAAATGTGAGTAACAGCAGAAACAGTCAAGTTCAGTGGTGTCCTAGTCATTATATAAAAATGATAAATAGCTAGCTTGTCTATAAAGAGTTTAGGGTACAGCCTTCAACCCATCATCTTGTTTAATTCTCAAAACAGTCCTAAGAGTTGGGCAGATTCCCTTCATTTTTTTTTTAATCTTTAATTTCTTTATTGGTTAAGGTATTACAAATGTGTCCTCATCCCCCCATTAAACCCCAACCTCCCCTCCCCCCCCCCCACTCATGCTCTGGTCCCCCTGTTGTCCGTGTCCATTGGTTTGGCTTACATGCATGCATACAAGTCCTTTGGTTGATCTCTTCCCCTTACCCCCACCCTCCCCTACTTTCCCTCTGGGGATTGAAAACTGAGGCTTAAAAAAACACAGGAATGCCCCTGGGGCCACGAAACCAGTAAGTGATAAGGATGGGACTTCAAATCCAGGCCCGATAACTCCAGAGACTGTGTTCCTACTCATTTCTGCCTCACTCCTTCCTGGAATCACTGCCTACGCAAAAATACCCACAGACCCAAACACAATGTGCATACATATATTAGCATATGTGACCAAGTGGCCTAAAAGAACGCTATTAACTTTGTTCTCCCTCACTCGCTTATAAAAAAAAAGGGTCTTCTAAAGCAATGATCTCCAATGCTGTTCCTATTTGTAAGCTCCTTATAAGAATGTCCACTTGCTTCTGTATTTATGACAGGCCATACATAAATAACAGACTTAACACTCATTCCCCAATTTGTAATCTGTGGGTGTTTAAGGGACATCATCTGTTTGGTTCTGAGGGATCAGCGGAAACTGCAAACTTTGAAAATTAGAATGAGACTTGCTACGAGGAATGAGTAAGTGAGTGATGTCTATTATTTGGTGTTTTGATTTTCTCTAAAATGGTAACTCTAATACTCAATGTCATTTCCTCATTCATCTCTCATAGCAAGCCTCATTCTGATTTTCAGAGTTTGCTCACAGTAAGGTTATAGTAAGAGATGAACAAGTAGGGAGAAGGCTTTAGCCAGTTTGGAAACAGATGGAAGAGAAGAAAGACCTAGAAGCTCCTGGTGAAGGTGGGACGCCAGTTCGTGAGTTGTTTCTGTGGCTTTGACCACAACAGAAGAGAAATCTGAACCTTCCAACCTGAGCCCCTGGATCACACATCTTCTAACCCCGCATCATGCTGACGCCGCCGATGGCGCAGCAGCGGTTCCGCCCCTGGACTTACACGACTTGCAGGGGGAGCTGCTGGTGTGCTCCACAATCCTCGTCTCGTCGATCCTCAGCTTCAAGGGCCCCCAGGGATACTTGACGTTGGGCCTCATTTCAAAGCGACCTTCTTTTCCGAAGTAATCACCAATCACCTGTTTCAAGGCCAAAAGCAAGGGGACCAGCTGAGAGGTCAGAGTCACCTGTCTCCCTAGGAGGCGCAGGGCGGGCTCCCGGTGGTGCACCCTGACCCCAGCCGTGTGTTTGAGGACTTTGTAAGTTGGGATTTACAGCTGCTGAGTCGCCCTGGAGGTGAGCATCACTGAGGGAGGGCTGTGGCCCTTCAAGGCAAGGTGGGTGGTTACACAGGGAACCATGATCTCAGGTTCACGGCTTTTCCCTTGCTGATCCGAGGCTGCTGTCCACCCATCCCTGCCGAGCAGCCCCTGTGGCCAGCCCTTCCGAAGGCCCACGTTCCTCTGGGCTGGGAGACCAGGTCTGCTCGGGCCCGGAAGTGTAAGACAGGAGCATGGCCTCACACCACTCGGTCGGCCCCACACATAATGGAAGTGTTAAAGAAAGTAGCTCTTAGGGACTCCTGGCCTCACACGCCCCTAAGGCGGAATTAGATTCTCCTGGCTGAGGAGTTTACCCTGCTTGCACCCCGTTTCCAGGCGGAACTCCTCTTTGATTGGTCCCTCTGGTTCCTGGAAAATCACTATTCATTTATACTCAGTCCAAGGGTCTCTCTCAGTTTCAGGTTTAAATGCCTTTCATCAGCTCCTCAGCCCTGATCTAAAGGCACTGCCATCCGGGTCCTCGGGCTCCATCTCTCTTGTCACCAGCCCGCTCCTCCGAGTGGCTGTCACACCTCCGCCCATCCCTTTTGAGGAGGTGTAGCTGGCTCTCCAGGCTGTTCCATGGCATGGCAAAAAGCGTTCTCCACAATCACCAGAACACAATCACTGTGTCCTGACACCCTACAGAGCACCTCACACACTGTCACCCTGCACCCCCACAGTGACGCTCCCTCACAGAGGGGAGACCAGAATACCCACCAGACCCAAACCAGCCCAAGCAGCAGATCTGACCTGAAACACTGCATCCTATCTAATAAAGAGGGAATATGCTAATTGACCCTCATGCCATCACAAAGATGGCGGTGCCCACAGCCAATAAGGAGGGAATATGCTAATTGACTGCCATGCCCTCAAAGATGGCGGCACCCACAGCCACAAGATGGTGGCGCCCAGTCCCCTCAGCCTCCAGCCTCCCAGGGCCATCCGAGGCTCAGGTAACCAGGGCTGGCCGAGGCTCGCGCTGCTGGCAGTGGCAGCAGCAGAGGTGTGATGGGGCATCGCCTTCCCCTGATCCCCGGGTCGCCTCTGGCCCCTGAGGGCTCCCAGACTGTGAGAGGGGGAAGGCCGGGCTGAGGGATCCCCCCTCCAGTGCATAAATTTTCATGCACTGGGCCTCTAGTATGTGTATAATCTTTATTTATAGACTGATCATTTAAAGACCTTTCCTAGGTCTCATTTCATTCGGGGCTCATAATCACGAGAGAGCAAGGAAGATCTCCGTGTGACAGCCCAGGAAACTGAGCCAGAAAGCGCCCTCCCAGTGAGAGTCAGAGGCTCATCTTTGCATCCAGGGCACTCTTCCCACTCCGAGATGCTGTCCAGAAACACCACCATCTTTGGAAACGTTAACAATTGTCCAGTTTGTAGCCCCATCACCCCCCGCCCAAAACAAAGTCAGGTTGTAAGGGAGGAGAGAAATACACCATCTCACTTCACCTCTCTCACCCACATCCCTCCTGCATCGTAGGACTGATCTGTGATTGGTGGCCACTTAAAAGGAATGATTTCCCCATTTGGGGTAACCAGGGGACCGATTCCTGAAGTCTTCCCTGATCCCCTCAACCAACGTGAGCCCCCCTTACTTGGAAACCCCAGGTTTGGGGCTCATTCTCATTTGGAGGCTGCCTTTGGGACAGCTATTGGGACATCAGGATGAACACATTCCTTGGGATCCTAACCAGCAGGAGAATGGCAGAGCCTCGCTCGCTTACCTCCTGGGTGCCCGCCTCTGCGTCGGTCATGGCGATCACCGAGAAGTCCCCGTACCGGTCCCCATTGGTGTCTATGGACACCTGCCCGGCAATACCTAGAGGATGACACAAGAGGAGCACCAAGTTGGTTACTTAAAGCGACGCTGAGCCAACGAAAATGAGGCATGAACGGACGGGATTGTTCAGGCGCCCTCTGGCCACAGGGAACCTCATCAGACGCGGAGCGTTTGTGTTGGCCTTGGGAAAGACATTGTAATTTCATCTGTGTCTGCATTCCTAAATTCTTAACATTTCTCCATTTAAAAACGAAAAGAAAAGGAAATAAATGACCTTCTTTGAGAAATATGCATGTGTGTTTTTAAAGAAGAGTAAGGCTAATCCTGAAAGCAGCATGCTTAGCCCAGAGTTTTCTATTAAATTAAAACAAAAGCAAACTGCCAGGCAGGAGAAGTGGAGGTGTGGCCGGCTCCTGGACTTGTCACGGGTTCGTGTTATCACTAGACAAACGTCAGAAGAGAAACCCTATTCCAGGCCCAGGACCCAGCCAATGTGCTCCGCTCCGGGCAATGTGGTGCGCAGGATGGGGAGTGCCGGCCCCCGGTCATGGGAGCTGAGAGTGAAGGAAGAGTTCATCTTTCTCCCACTATCTTCATTAGCTGTTCTGTTTCTGTTTGGGGGAGTTTTTTCCAGTTTTATTAAGGTATAATTGACATTCATAACTGTTTGAGTTTCAAGTGTCCAGCATAAAGCTTTGACTTACATATACTGTGAAAGGATCACCACCACAAGTTCAGTGACTATTCATTATCTCACAGAGAAACAGTAAGTCATTTATTGTTTGCCCAAATGTTTGCGTGGTGATGCTGCCGCGGAGGCAAAGGTGAATGGGACACATTCTCCGCTCAAGAGAGGGGCAGCCCCGAGGAGGGATTTAGCCTGTGGAACCCAGAGGTCTGCATTTGGATCCCGGCTCTCATGCTTACAAGCGCCGTGACCTTGAGCAAGGACTTTGCCCGGTGAGACTCAGTCTCCCGGACCATGAAAGAGTCATAATAGTGCCTCCCGGCCAAGAGGCTGTTGACGAGATGAAACAGGTAAAGCCCTTTCAACGCAGGTTGAAGAGAAGTTGGTTGCTTTCCTCTGCTGTCATCGCTACTATCGCCAGGCCTGAACTCTGGGAGAGGACACCCGGCAGTGCCCACACCACGCAGAGCAGGAGGCCCAGTGCCAAGGCAGTCTTTCATGGGTACGTGGGTGAAGTCCATGATTTGGACAAGCAGCCATCAGAGAGCGGGGGATGTTTGAGGCAGAAAGGCTAGCCTTATTGGCGTTTACAAAGGCACTGACGCTGGAAAGCAGAGTGGCCATGAGGTTTCTGGGAGGTGGCCCGTGTGCATGGAAGGGAGCAGAGAGAAAGGCTGGACCAGAGTGGCCAGAGTATGGAGAGCCCTGAGTGCCCACCAGAAAGACTGAATTCGCTTTGGCCAGCAATGGTGGCTTACAACAGCTAATCAACCAAGCAAGTATGCCTCCTTAGTTGATATTAAATGTCTATATTGTAATTTTCATTAACTAAGTAATAGAGTGCAAATGTCAGCTACATGCTAAGTCACCACGGCTATTTATTTTCCTTTATTTCAAACTGTGGCAGAGTCGGTGTAATTCTTAATTGGTGTTTCCATTGATCTGGTTCTCTCCGGAAGTAAAATGAATGTCTGGGAAAAGGGATCCCAAGGGAAAGTTCCATCCTCAAGTGTGGCTTGGAGAGGACAAGTATTTGGGTTTACTGTCCTTGGGTTGTGGTTTGAAGGCCTGCCGATTTTTCCAGACTTTGGTCTACTTTGCCAGAAACAGAATGGAGTTGCCATTCATCTGGATGTTTTGTCTTCTTAATATAGACTGGTTACAAAGGGTACACCTACCTCGAACTTGTTTATCCTTGACAGCCTATACAACTTTTAAGTCATGCCATTTTTTAACAATATATATATCCCCAAACATACTGGTTATCTGAAACCTTTTTTATTCTGTTCAGAGGGCTTTATGATAGTGTGTTCTGTAAGTGTTTTTGCAGAGTGTTCTGTAAGACAAGGTGGCCCTGGTAATCCAAGACCTCACTATACTTGAAGCTATTACAATTCTGCCAAGAAATGAGGTGAGAACCCTCAGGGCAGCCGATTAGCAAGTGAGACTTTACCTGAGAGTACTGTACATAAGGTGTGATGGGCAGGCTGCGGCAGAACTTTCCTGTATAATTACTGAGACATCCCACCCTCATTTCTATGGGCCTGTAGTGGAGTTCATGGTTTGAGCCACAATCCTATTTACCTTGTCACTCTGACCTCTCACACAGAGAGCAATTTAGCTTCTTCCCGGGCCATGGTTGAGAGTTGGTCATAGGTTTCTCGGTAGTAAAATCTAAATTTGTCAAATAACATCCAGAGTATTTTTCCCTTAAGAACTTAATGGTCCCTTATGGTGACCATTAAAATGAAAATTGATTTTAAATTTAGAAAGGTTAAAGTTTTTCTTAGAGGTCTTTTGGGGGCTACCCTCAGCTGGATCACTGTTTAGTAAAGAGAATGGAAACTTACCTTGGCTTTAATTGTCTTTACATTTAGACAAATGAGGTTCTGCATTTAAGCTGAATTCATACAGTTGATTGTTTTAGAACTCATTTCCTATTGCCTGTGTAGACTTGGCCCTAGAATGGAAGACCAAGACGGCCTATGGGAAAATTTAGTTCACGCCCTCTAAACAAAACTGAATCCAGCCATTGTGGGCACCTGCCCTTCCCTTAACAACCTCTCTCAGAAGACCAAGAACAAATGACCACACCACGTAGTGAGGAATAGCTAAGAACGGGATGTGGCCTACCAAGATTGTGTCCACACACACACCAGTTTCTCAGTGTATTGGGCACAACTTCTGGAAAATTTGACTCTGTCCTAATATGCCCCCTGAATTATCCTACTTGATTCCAGCTCCCAGCTAAAGCAGTCTAAGGTTGAGCAAGACAATCCTGGAGGCCTATTTGTTCACATTCTACAATCTGTCAAAAGTTAATCAGATGTCACTCTAGTTTTGAGTAAGATGTGGCATCCACATAAACCACCAAGGAGCAATGAAATCCACCACTTGTCACCATAGCTAAGGCCAAGACATTTCTAGATGGAACATGACCCTTTGTACTGCCCTACCCCTTCTAATAACTGAGAACAGAACAAGACAGTGGAGTGGATAGGAGTCCCAATTGGAAAAAAAAAAAAAATGTGTGCTTCAAATCTAGACTTAGAAGTACTTGTTCCCATCATTGAAAATGTCATTAGTTAGATTGCAAATAAGTATAGGCCTAGCCCCAGTGCATTCAAGGATTCAAAGGAGGAGGTAGCATAATGCAAAACTGAAAGGACTCTTGTCAGTCATCAACTAATCCAACCTCCAAGGGTTAGGTGATGGAGAAGTCCAAGGGACTGAGGGTGAAGTCCATGACCAGGACGCAGGTTTCCTGGTCCAGCGATCTGTACTCTATGTTAGTGGCTCTCACATGAGGCCCATTAGCATGCTATAGTTTATTTTCCACACAGCCTCCATAGGACCCCTTTTAAAGACTCAAGATAGATCATCTTCCTCAAACCATCTGGTGGCTTTCTATCTCACTCAGGGTGGAACCCAAAGTCCTTGGTGCAGCTCCCAGGTCCGCGGGATCTAGCCCCTACTACCTCTCTGACTTGAACTCCTATCACACTGCCTCTCACATGCTGTTTCAGCCTCCTTGCCTGTCTGGGGGCACTCAGGACTGTCCCACAGATACATTCAAGGTCTCTGCATTTGCTGCTCTCTCTGGAATGTTCTCTCATGAACATAATTTCTTTCCCTTCCTTCAGGTCTCTACTCAACTGCCACTTACCAGAGAGACCTTCCCTGATCACTCTATTTAAATTAATAGTCCCACACGACACTTTCTATCTCTCTATCCTGCTTTATTTAAAGCCCCTGAAATGGCGTATCTATTTGTTTATCATTAGTTAACTCCACTACCATGGAAGCTCATATGACTGCAGGGAATGTCTTTCGCTTATTGCTAAATCCTCAGTATCTTGAACAGTGCCTGGCACATAGGAGGTGCTCAAGAATATCTGATGAACAAATGAGTGAGTAAATATGAAGCTGATAACTGCAGGGCTCATGTTGAGTCTCGTGTTAATTTTCTTTGAGTGCTGGTGAGGCCAGAGGAAGCCAGCCCTCTATATACTGTTGGCAAGAATATAAGCTAGTAGTCCTTTCCAGAAGACATTTGCCAATATCTAATGATATCCCACAACTAGAAATATTCCCTGTTGGATGTACTCACAGAAATTCATCAAGACACGTAAGATGCATAATAGCAGAAACTATAAACAGCCCAAGTGTGCATCAATAGGAGATTGGTTAAAGAAGTCCTTGTACAGCCATATGGTGGAAAACTATGGAACTATCGTTGAAAAATGTGCTGAATCTATGAGTACTCATATGGAACGTTTTTGGCATGGAAGTAAAATAGCTATGATGAGGAATGGTATTCATGGTATGATGCTTTTTGTGTAAATTTTTTAGATACAATATAATTCAAATGCATATGTGCTGGCAGGAGACAAAATATTTTTAAACCGAATCATAGGGAATTGTTAATAGTGATCACATTGGAGGGAGGGGACCAGGGCAAGGAGGAAAACTTTCACTTTTCATTTTGTGCATTCCTGGACTGTTTAAATTTTCCAGCCAAGAACAGTCTCATTCTTGTACAATTTTTAAACGTCAACAGAGGTTGCTTGAGTGATGAGATGATGGGCCATTTTTTGGTTGTTGTTAAGAAAGCCACAGCTAATTTCATCATTTTATAAATAAAAGAAGTGAGGGCTCACTAGACCTGCTCATCATCTCAAACCACTCAGGTTTGAACAGAGAAATGTATATCTGGGATCTTTCATTTTAAAACTGACTACAGAACTCTTCACAGATTGATTGTTTGTTGTGAATGAGGCTTGTGATGAATTTAATTTTAAGAAACATGGAGTTTGCCCAACAATCAGAAGGAGCTAAGCCACTCCCCATTTCAGTGGGACTTTTTCAAAGCCCTTGCATGTGCTTTATCTCTTTGAATTTTCACAGCAAGCCTGTGGGCCGGCTTGATTTTGACTTATTGATCTTACTGCACAGCTGAGGAAAGCAAGGCCCCACAGTTGTAAGAGCAAAATAGAACCAGCAAAGAAGCAGCTCAAGGAGCTGCAAAGTGCCGTCGACGTAAAAACTGGAGCCTCACCTTCAAAGGTCCTGTTCCACGTCTGCTGGATAATTTTCCCTCCGTCCTTCTTGCTGTAACCAGCTCTGAGCACCTCGTGCAAAGCCAGGACGTAGAGCAGAATGGCGTCATGGAACCCTTCCACAAACATGTTCACCTGGAAAGGAAACCCCATTGGTGAGACCAAACGCCAAATGACTCAAGTTGAGGAATAATATAAGCGAATAAAAATGATCAACACGTTAGACTCCAGGCCTGCAAGCATGGCAGAGGCGGGCAGAGGCGTAGCTAACGAGAATGGTGGCATGGTTTTCCTGGCACTGGTTTAGTGAGGAAAACTTTTCCCCAGTTTGGGAATTTGGAAAGCAGACAAGATAGTACAGAATTTTAAGAAACCTGCACCTGTTGGCTAGGTTATGTATTCCGGGTGCATCAGCCCTTGCCCATAGCTCCCTTTGCACAGGCGCCCTCCTTCCCCACGTTGCTCTCTGCCTCCAGCCAACTTGAGTCCCACCTCCCCCTTGAGGTTTTCTCCACCTTCAAAAGCCCCTCTGATCTCTCCACGCTCTGAATTTGGAACTTAACTAAAAGAAGGGTAGGGATCCATTCGCTCATATTCAAATGCTATTGAATGCCTGCTGGAATGCTCAGGATGCAAAGAGGACTGGGCTGCATCATTCCTGCCTGCCGCCATTTATGCTCTCTATTCTATCAGCAATGACATCTTCGTTTCTCGTTCTAATGTGTGTCCTGAGTCATTGCAGTGCATCTCAGTGCTCCCCAGCTCCACTCCCTGCCAAGCTCCAAGGACAGGAATGGGAAAAGGCCTGGCTCAAGTAAGGAAACTTACAGCTTCCTGTGGACTTGGGAAATTCACTTAAATCCCTTTGAGCCTTATTTCCTCCTATAAGCACCATTTGTAAGTTCTAATATCACATTTAAACCCATTGCAACATTCAATAAACATGAAATGAGCAAATACGATCCTGAAACACTGAGTAGCTGACAAATACTGTACAAAAGTATGAAGAAAAACCGAGCCTTCTTTCAGGAGAAAGCATCAGGAATGTAATGCCACACAGCAGAATGAGCGGGCATCCCACGGACCGACGATCAGGGTGAGGCCTTTGAGGCTGTTTCCTGCCCCACCCCCAGTTCAAATACAGAAACATTCACAGAAGACACAGTTCAACATCCAGTTCTACTTGGCTTCTTCCCACCCAAAGGGCCGGTAAAGCCCTGTTTGTGTCTCAGAAGCAAATATTTCAGATTTGACCAAACCTACTGCTGAGAGGCAGGTCAGAATAATTGCAGGGAGCCCAGCTTCACACTTCCTGGCTGTGTTTCCGCACCACGCTGGGTCTCAGTTTTCCCCATCTGGAAGACGAGGGAGATAGTACTACCTATCTTAGGGGGGGTGCCGTTGTGTTTAAACAAATCAATAGATGTAAAGGAGTCAGTATTCACTGTTAGTTCTTGTTGTTATTGTCTAGAGATGGCGAATTATAAAGCGAGGGGTCCTGGTTAGCTTCTCATTTCTAGTAGTGGTATTAATCAACTTACTGGTATAACATATCTTACTGACCCATTTATAATTAACGGAAACTTTGTTCATGCTTTGACACCCAAACTGGTTCTCTTACTTCCTCAATGTCCGGTCCTTAATTCTGTCCAAGTATGATGGGTGCAGCCCAAGCTGGTCAATTGACCCTCTGGGGTGGGTGGAGGATAGAAAAGAGTGCTGGCTCACAGGAGAGCTCTGAATCAGCTGCTGGACGCAAAATCTAATCCTAGCCCTGACACGTTGTTTAACCTCTCTGATCTTCAATTTCCTCATTGGTTTAATGGGGGTTTAGCACCTATTCATCTCCTAGAGCTCTTCTGGGGATGAAATGAATGAGGGCATGTAGAACATCTAAAACAATTCCTGGGACCATGAAAGCAAACAGTAGACAATGGCTCTTGCTCTTAGCCATCACGCTTAAGTCTCAGAGTCATTATTTTCTTAGGCAAAGCAGAATGTGTAGAAATAACATCTACTGGTCAAAGATAATTTTCTGCTGATTCGGCTATGCTAATTAAATTTTCCAAAGGAATATGAAATTTTCACTTAGACCATGAAGTCATTGTGGCTTGAGAAAGTACGCATGCTGATGAGTTAATGAGTTTTAATAAGTGAACTTTGGCTGTGTAACTTCATTCTCGGGCCACTAAACATATTTTTTCAAAAGCTCTTTCTCCTCTTTGATAATTATATACACACCATCCTGCTACAGAGGGAAGTCACAGAGTCACGGAAAGTGGAAGATGCAAGGTGCTCAGAAAAGCTCTGGCCTAACCCTCCCCTTACTTGGAAGACCAAAAGAACATTGCTCCCCCTCAATCGTCCTGCACTCTGTACCTGAGGGCTGTTCCCTTCGAACTCCTTGTTCCTGGGGAGCCTAGGACAGCCCTGCTTCCACTGTGAAGTGCCTCCGCCTCTCTTCCTCCTCCTCTTGACGCCTTCCCAAAGTCCTAAACCAAGGCCATCATAACGCCTGCCTACTGCTGACCACCTGAAACACTGACATGGCCCCAGCACCACCCTCATCTGACTCTCCCCCATCCTTCTTTCTTTTTTTTTAAATAGATTTTTATTGATTTCAGAGAAGAAGGGAGAGGGAGAGAGAGATAGAAATTTCAGTGATGAGAGAAAATCATTGAACGGCTACCTTCTGCATGCCCCACCCTGGGGATTAAGCCTGCAACTCAGGCATGTGCCCTGACTGGGAATTGAACTGTGACCTCCTGGTTCACAGATCGATGCTTAACCACTGAGCCACAGCGACTGGGCCTCCTCCTTCTTGATATGCCCTCTGTGCTGCCCCCGCTACAACCCAGGATGGAAAGCACGATCATCTGGCTGAGAAACATGAACCTGGATTACTTTTTCCTACCAGGTTTAATGGTAGAAGAAAATAGATTGGTTCTAAACACATGTCCAAGTCTGAAAGCCCATTCTATCCTGATTTGCAAATGGATTGAAAATTGTACTTCCTTTCTTTCAAAGTAGCTGAGTGTCTCCCTCTCCTGCCAAAATTAGCAGGAGAGCTGCTGACCCCCACCAAGGTTTGCTGGCACCCCAACCTACTGCGGAGGAGGTTTCATAACACCTACCTCATAGGCCCTCGAGCCAGAAGCAAAACCCTAGAGACCTTCTTTTCTCCAGGAGAACATTCTCACATCCACACATGTTTTCAAGTGGGAGGAAAGCCCATTAGCACATTATAGACACTGCAAATTAGAAGTGCAAATTTTTGAAAAAATAAGGGGAAAAAAAGTCCAGAGTATTAAGTTGCCTTTGGAACACTTTCCACTGGACCTCCAGGCTAAAAGGAAGTAGCTCATCTGGTCTGCCCCCTACCCAGCCTGTCAGAACAACACCTGGACCTCAAAGTCCTGACGGACAGACTGCACAACCTCTCCAGTATTTAGCATCCTTTTAGCCAGAAATCTCCTCCTTACTGTCATCAGCCATAAGTCTTCATTAAATTCTTAAATGCAGCCATCCCTGCTAGATGTTGAACAAACAGAGAGAACAATACAATTCAAGAGCCCTGGGGATTTGCAGTCTTGACCAAACAGTGTCACAGTTCCATAAGGACACAAACAGCGTCACAGCTCCATGCGGACACGTAGAGGGAGTCTGCGCAAGGCGGTTGTGAAGGGGGCCACCATGAGGGACAAGCCCCAGGCGATCACTATCGTGCTGTGTATCATCCAACAAGATGGAAATCACGCACCATCTTCCACCCATCCTGGGAACTTGGCCAGAACAGGGCAGCATGCTGGCATTAACTCTCTGTCATTTCATCTCAGTTCTCTTGATTTTCCCTCCGGAGCTGGCCAGCGGCAGGTATGCCAGATGGAAGAATGCCATTTTTGCCTTTGGCCTGTCTCTCTGATTGCACTTGTCGGCCGTGTCTATTTATTAGTGTTTTTCATCTCTCACCGGGAAAGCCGAATAGAAATGTTGCTATTTTTTAACTGAGCATAAAGAGTGGCCATTCATGACATGGCTCCCATCTGTGGCAGGAGTGGCATCTTTCTCATTTCTCTTTGGGGAGGCAAATTCGTAGAGGAATTCCTCAGTGTTTGTGTTTCAAACAAGTAAGCAAAGATGTTGCCTGTCTCAGCTGTTTTGTACAGTGATAGTGAATAACACAGCAGTAATCCACCTCCCAGGTGGTCCGGGTATCTGAGACAGCCTGGAAAGCTGCCCCATAGCGTCCCGGGAGAAAGTTCCCAAAGCTCAATGCAAGGCTAAGCTGCCCGGAGATCTTGCCTGTGGTATTCAATGAACTCAAGAATATCACAAGGTGGCTCCATCTTCCTTCCCATAAACCAATGGTTCCCAATGCAAATAAGGAAAGTGGAGAGTTGGGCAGCATATCTCAAGAGTCTTTTGTCTTTTTTAATATATTATTATTGATTTCAGAGAGGAAGGAAGAGGGAGAGAGTGACAGAAGCATCAATGATGAGAGGGAATCATTGACTGGCTGCCTCCTGCACATCCCCCACTGGGGACTGAGCCCACAACGTGTGCCCTGACCAGGAATTGAACCCAGGTTCTTAGGTCAATGCTCAACCACTGAGCCACGCCGGCTGGGCTCGAGTCTTTTGAAAAGACATGACCCTTAGCCTTCCATTCCACTGAAGGGAAGTTGTGGGGGAAGGGAAATTTTGATGGCAGGAAGGTAAGAGGAAAAATGGACTCAAGACCTGCCTTTCCCCATCACAGCAGGAAGAATGGCAGCAGCATATTGTCTAATTAGCAGTATGATCCTGAAAATGGACCTGTCCCCCCCTCCTAGGCCACTGAGATGGTGGCCAGCAGAAGGACGTGTCCTGGGGATGTAGCATGTGGACAAAAAGTTAAAGAATATTATTTATTTGATGAACACTGTGCACATGAGCTCTGTACAATAAAAACATGGATACTATCTGTTTTCATTCAATTTTCTTTTGAATCATAAAATTAAAAATCTACAATTTAAAGAGCAGGAACTCCATAAATCCAGTGGTATCACAATCTCCTCAGCACCAGAAAGGCGGTCCTTCCTCTTCCTGACAGACACTTAACATTTGTTCTTCTACACAGGGCTGCCTGCATGGAGC